TGGGTTGCGACCTCTTTGGGGGTCGAACAACCCTTTCACAGGGGTCGCCTAAGACCATCGGAAAACACATATATAATTATATATTGTTTTGTGATTAATCACTATGCTTTAATTATGTTCAATTTGTAACAATGAAAATACATCCTGCATATCAGATATTTACATTACGATTCATAACAGTAGGAAAATTACAGTTATGAAGTAGCAACGAAAATAATTTTATGGTTGGGGGTCACCACAACATGAGGAACTGTATTAAAGGGTCGCGGCATTAGGAAGGTTGCGAACCACTGCTTTAAAGCCTAAGGAGCACATTGGCAAGTGATGGGCCAAATTTCACCTATAAGTCTTTTGATCAGTCCACACAGATACTTTTAATGTGATTTAGTGGCCAATGTTGAACAATTTGAAAACTTTACATAAATGTACACATTTCTGGCTTCTAAAAAAAGCAGGTCTGTCCTGAGTAGCCAGCATTTTCAGATCAACTACAAGTTTGAAACAGTGTTTTAGACAAGATGCGAGTCTTCAGTTTGCCACATTCCCCACCACTCCATATTACCTACAGACTCAAGGAATGCACTCACATTATCTGCTCTTGAGTTGGTAATCGCCTCTGTATAATCTTAAAAAAATCAATAGCAGATTCACTGAGCTTACAAACGCTTTTCCTCTTTCAGCAATTTGATGATAATACTGATTTGTGGAGATGGATTTTCTCACACAAGCCATTCGGTTCTTTTTCCGTTTCTTGGCTCTCAAGTTGCCCTCTCTGTGTATCATTTCTAATTCTTAAATAAGAAATAAAGAACCTCCCTGCTGTTAGCCGTTTCTTTAGATTTCAGCTTACTCTGTTTATTCCACTAACCTCTCCTCTCCATTTATAGGAAATGCCTTACTTTTCCTTTCCTTCTCTATTTGTTCATTACTTTTGCTCTTTCAGCCACATCTTTACGCTGGCTAGACACAGCCCAGCAGAGTGGTTAAGACTCTGGCTCTGGAAACAAACAAATTCAAACCTGCATCATTGTCTCAGTTCTGAGGCCTGATGAAGGTTCCCTAACCTCTCTGGGCATCAAATGAGCTACAAATGAGGATGGTGATAGATTTACTTCATAAGGTTCTTGTGGACGATTAAATTAGCTAATTTAACACAGGGTCTGGCTCAGCAAACTATAGTTGTTATTGATTCTGTGTGCCCTCTCAGACATGTCTACAGTTGGAAAAACCTCTTTGCCTCTATTCCTTCCAGTCACACCCTTATTCTGTACCCTGTCGCACCTCAGCAAGGACAGCCTGGAAAGAGGACTAAGTTTTCTTCCGCTTGATTAGTCATTGCGGGTTTGTTAATTTCTTTTCAATTTCTTCTTATCAGATACTTGTATGTTCTGCACACCTCTGATAAATGTCCCAGCTTATAAAGTTACTGAAGGCCCGGTGCATGAAATTCGTGCACAGGTAGGGTCCCTAGGCCTGGCCGGTGACCAGGGCCAATCAGGGCCTTCTGGCTGCCAGCTGGGGCCTCCCTTCCCTGGCTGCAGGCTGCTGGCTGAGGCCTTCCTTCATTCCGCACCGCCCCCTGGTGGTCAGTGCACATCATAGTGAGTGATCAAACTCCCGGTCTCTCAGTTGAACTCCCGAGGAGACAGTTTGCATATTAAGCTTTGAGAGAGAGAGAGAGAGAGAGAGAGAGAGAGAGAGAGAGAGAGAGAGAGAGATTAGAAAAGTGTTCGCTCAGTTTACATTCCTAAATCTCTTTTATTTTCCTGAAAAGAAATCCTCTTGGTGAGGCATGTTCCAGATTGCTAGCATGTGTATCTAAACAAGGGTCTGCAAATCCTGAGCTCTTATAGGTTGGTTCTAAATACGTGTCTGTGTAGGTCACTTTGCTCCAAGAAGCAGAGGCCATAGCTGCTGTAGAGAAGCAATATTTGCCCTGGCCAGTGTGACCCGTTAGTTGGGCATTGTCCTGTGCACCAAAAGGTTGCTGGTTCGATTCCCAGTCAGGGCACATGCCCAGGTTGTGGGCTCGATCATGAGTAGGAGTCATGCAGGAGGCAGCTGACAGGTGTTTCATTCTCACATCCAAGTTTCTCTTTCTCCCTCTCTCTTTCTCTCTGAAAATCAATAAAAATATTTTTTTAAAAAGAAAAGCAATATTTCCTTGAGACAGATTCCATTTGCATCTTTGAGGGTGGAAGTGGTGTGCTTTGTTTTAGTTGGGGGGGGTGTTTGTTTGTTTGCTAGCAATCCCTATCACATGGCTGTGCCTTTTCCCTGCACCAGGATGCATTCTTCCCTCTGACCCTCAGAGCACTTGATACGTGGTTAACAGTACTCACCTCATAACTGGGTTCTGTTTCTCACACACGGTTCCCAAATCACACCCATAATCTGCTTGCTACTCTTCCTGGATACATGAGTACCAAATAATGTTACAGTAACCCAGTGACACAGTAATTCCTTGATATACTATTTAATTATCTTCAGAAATGTCTGAATTGGAAAAGACAAGTTTGGGCTCCTCCTGCAGCATCAAAAGGCAAATTGTGACACACTCAGCAGCACCATGGGGGGAGAAGGAGAGAGTGTCCTGGCCCATCTTGTAGGACCAGACAGCCCAGAACCCCATGTGTGAGCCGAGCTCAGCCCAGCTCTCCTGTAATTTCCAGAGTCTGCTGAGGCTTGTGATCATTAATGGGGAGGTATTCCAGAGAGAATGGCCCCATGGCACTTTCTGGGCATTTTTTCAGGATGACTGACAAGAGCTAGCACACTTCAAGCAGTCATTCGGTTGACACGTTCACTAGGGCAGTGTGCTTTTCACAGGTATTTATATCAAGCACTGGACACAATCCCAAAATGTGATAAATGACATTTCATGGCATTAAGAAAATTTCCCTACCTTTTATCCCTCTCTTGAAACTGTTTTTCATTATTAAAAAACAAAAGTTATGTTCTAATTCAAAGGTCAAGCCATGGTCAAATGAAAGCCATAAAATTGAGCTTCAAGATCTAATATCTTTTCTTTGGATATTCTCCTTTGGCTCAGACAGTAACCATTCTTTACACCCAAAAAAAAAAAAGTGCATAATATCTGAACCCAATCAGAACAATTTATTTCATGCTTAGTTTTATATCTGTGGGCTTTCAAGTGAGTGCACAACCTCACTTCTTTGATTGTCTACTTGACCAGCTTCTGGCTGAGTGATAAGCGTCACAGTTTCTGTCCTGGAACAAGGCAAAGAACACACAGAAAAGAGACCCAGATTCTGGGTCTAGTTCTTTCGCTTTCTATTTGGATGTCCTTAAATAATTCATGTTACTTTCTGGAGCTGTTCCCACTCTGTTCTAAGCTAAGCCATAAATTTCTTTGGTCCACACATTACAAACTGGCTGGCTGCTGCCAAAGATATCCCACATCAGTGTTTTGCTTGGCCCACAGAGCATTTTGAAAATTGGTAAACATTAACTAAAAATCCAAATGTCCAACTCCTCTTGAAAAATACAAAGCTGGGCAACAGTGAACCAACATTCCTGCATGGCAACATAGCCCAAAGCTGAGTAATACCGCCAACTCTAGAAGTGGTGTGCACTTCACAGCACGCCACAATCCCCACCACTCCCTATCGCCTGGCACCAGCCCTGCTTTCTCATTGGCATAAGCTACTGGCCCTAATAGACATGTGGTTTTGCTACCCTGGTTGAATCATTTATCTGCTCTGGTTTCTAGGAGCTCACCATTGAGCTACCCTCTTCTAAAACTGCTTTAGTTCTTCAGTTATTCTTGTAATATGAAGCATATTATAGAAGCATTTCTCTATATGTCCTTAATATTAAAAGGCCCACATCAAACTGTTGGCTCATACTGACTTTGTGAGAACTTAAAACTCCAGGTCGCCCTCTCATGAATTATCGCATGAAGTTGATGGCAAAACATGGTCTGCTTTGCCCTGCAGTTTTTCTAATGACAATCTATAATTCTGGCCTGAGTTTTTATATTTCTCACAGGGATTTTGTGATTATCAAATATACCATAGTGTGAAATCATTAAAAGCTTTGAAATAAAGCTCTAAGCAAGCACAAACTATTTTATCTGTAAATATGCATAGACTATCTACTGACAAGGAGGTTGTCCTTGTCAATAAGTACATTTTATGATTTTTATTTCTTCATGCTTTGGATTTTTTAACTGCTTAAAAATATGCTTTTTAAAGTATCTTAGAACCAAATAATAATATCAGTTGGATATTACCTTGCTGAGAGATACCTTACCAGAAGTGCATTGTATGCAAGAATGACCTGTAAAACCATATACCCATTCTCTTCTCATGTTTTATCAATCAAGTTGACACTTTGCCTTACCATGTACAGAAGGCAATAAATATGTTTCACTTGTACCCAATTTATACATTCGGGGTACAAATGAGAGGATGCTCACACCTGTTGTTCACAAAATATATTGAGACCATAATACAATCCTCTATTTTCATAACTTTATACAAGGAATAAATGGTTACGGATGACTTTCAGAATGCATTGCTTACCAAAAGTGATTCATAACCATCTATTGCTAATGGTAGAAAGTAAAAAATATAAACATACAAAAAATCAGAATAGCAGAGGCCAAGTGAAATGCAAAAGAAAACAAAACAACCTCCCTAGCTGGTTTGGCTCAGTGGATAGAGTGTTGGCCTGCGGACTGAAAGGTCCAGGGTTCGATTCCAGTCAAGGGCATGTTGGGGTGTGTGCGGGAGGCAACCAATCAATGTGATGTGTCTCTCTCACGGAGATATTTCTCTCTGTCTCTCCCCCTCCCACTCTCTCCAAAAATCAATGGAAACATATCCTCGCGTGAGGATTAACAAACAAACAAACATCCAAACCACCGCCCAGGCTGTTTGAGGAACCAGCTGCAACAGCCCTTGGCTGGGCGGAGGGCTGACCCCACGGTGCCTTTCTGTTTCCCCTCTCATGCCTTTCTCTCTTGTGTGTTTAAGATCGGAGCACAGTGCTACCTGGAATGCTCGGCCCTGACTCAGAAAGGTCTCAAGGCGGTGTTTGATGAAGCCATCTTCACCATTTTCCACCCCAAGAAAAAGAAACGCTGCTCCGGGTGTCACCGCTGCTGCTCAATTATCTGAGGTGGAGTGAGACCCACCTCCACCCAACTTAAGGGCCAGAAGGGCAGCCAGCCTCTGCGACCAAGCTCAAGGCCCTGAGGAGGGCGGGACCCTGCACCCGCGGGCTTCTTCTGCGCCCTGAGCCTCCACGCACAGCCACTAGCCAGCCACTGCCACGCCCTCCCTGCAGCCACAGCATCCGCCCTGCGCACCCTAGGGAATGCGGAGCGGGGTCAGCCAAGTCAAAGACTGTCCTGCATCTCCCCCTCCCGTGAACGTGCGGCTAATGGGAAATCGTTGGGGAAAACCAAAAGAGACGCTTGGTTCCTGTCCTGGTGGCCTTACTCAATGTCTTTTACAAACCATGGGAATGCAGTACTAACCTCTTTTACTGAATCGGCTATTCTACCTGTGTGGCTTACAGTCACTGGTATTATTTTAAGAAATTTACTAATTTGCCAGTGTACCCGGGCCTTACAAATCCATACCAAATTAGCCTAAAGACAAAGTATTTTGTATTCATTTCTACCTTCAGCCTGTTTCTACCAAAGCTTTTAGAACCAACTTGGACCTCTGAATGCCTGACTATAAGAAGATACAAGAAAACCTTTCTGAGTTAAGACTTTGGAAATTTCAGGGCCATGATTTTGGAACCTGGTTGAATGAATTGTTGCTGGTTACATTTTTGCCAAAGATTCACCCTGGAAATGCTTATGTTGATAGGTAGCCTTATTTTTTCTGTATTATATATCATCATGGCAAATTAGGAATGAACTGTGTTTTTAAAAGTAGTATTTTTGCTTTTCAATCAAATGATTGGGGGGAGAATATGGCAGACTTATAATATGAAATATTCTTTATTCAGCAAAGTGGACTTTCCTGCTCCCTCCCTCCCCCATTGCATTCCCTTTACCTCCTTCGCCTTCACCCTTTCTCCCATGCCCAATTAACCTGGTCTAAACAAAGGGTCTGGCCATGGGGCATGAAAAAGTAAGCATTTAAAAGTCCCCAAAAGTTAAACAAAAGGCCTTAATTTTTCCTGTTGCTTCAACTGAAAGTGGCCCCCCCCCCCCCCGCCCCATCTGTGGTTTCACTTTCTGCCATTTCAGTTACCATGGTTAATTGCTATCTAAAAATATTAAATGGAAAATTCCAGAAACAAACAATTCATAAGTTTAAAATTTCATGCTGTTTTGAGTAGTGTGATAAAATCACAAACCATCCACTCCGTCCCACTCAGAACATGGATCATCCCTTTGTCCAGCGTATCCACTCAGTATATGCTACCTGCCCTTGGTCACTTAGTACCCATCTCAGTTATCAGATCAACTGCCATGATATAGCAGTGCTTGTGTTCAAGTAATCCTTATTTTACTTAATAATGGCCCCGACGCGCAAGAGTAGTGACGTTGGCGATTTGGATATGCCAAAGAGAAGCTGTAAAGTGCTTCCTTTAAGTGAAAAGATATGTGTGTATAGGAAAAAAAACACATAACGTATATATATAGGATTTGGTTTCAGGCATCCACTCGGGTTCTTGAAATGTGTACCCCACAGATAAGGGGGGACAACTGAACTTCTCAGCTTGCCCCCATGTAAGCCCCCATTCTATTTAAATGTCATTTTCCAAGTATAACTGATACTAAAACATTGCCTCTCCCTCTTTCCCACACTCATTGTCCCAAATGTATATTTAGGGGCTAGATCTGTGAGGACCAAACTCTGCTTTTCAAAATAATGTGTTCATAGAACGGGGACTTTGGCCTTAGGGAAGTAAAAACCTCCGAAAAGGATTGGTGTCCTTTCTGTATGACTCTCCCAAACATCCAGGGATCTTTTATCACAGAGTTCCTTACGTCCTAGCTTTTAATTACAGACTGCAGAGGCTTCTAATTACTCTCATTTGCCTACAATTACCCTAGAAACATCCAGGTAGGCACTTCATTTTTTATTTCAATTGCATAAGCAAAGTACCTCTTTGCAGCATGAAATTACACCAATTTTAGTTTAAGAATTTCCAGATTCACACTCCTTCCGTTAGGAAAATCCAGTCTTTCTAGCCCCTGCAGGAAGCACATAAACACAGGAGCTTATGGTGTGGGTCTTCTCTGTTAAGGCCTTCCATGACAACCCCTCAGTGTTTTGGATTTTGTGTGTTTTTTTACAATTTCTGAAATGTGTTTTCCCTTGTTCCACATTTCAAATTCTATATCCCTTCTCCCCCATCTAGTTGCTCAACATTCTCTTAAATGCACACACACACCAACCTAAAAGAAAACGAAAGTTTTGTAAGTCAAAGCTTGACAAGAAAACAAGGACTTTCTACCTTTGTAAGAAATCAACCATGTATAAACTTAACTCTGCTGAGGTTATAAATTCATTCTTTACAATAATGAGCATTTAGCCCTGTAATAAATGAAGTGCCATTAGCCAATTTTGTTACATTATTGCATAGTTATATCTTACTAGAGGCCCGGTGCACAAAAATTTGTGCACTCGGGGGGGAGAGGGGTCCCTCAGCCCGGCCTGTGC